AATACAGAGTAGATCCAATACCCAGTGGAATGCCGACAACTGGCTCACTTCCCCTGTCTGCATTAACATACAAATTGACCTCTAAGAGTAAGCTGTTCCCTCTAAATGTGACACACTACAAACAACACTTGATGTGCCATCAGTCGGGCCTTCACATTTACCTGTGGACAGCGACTAAAAACACCTGTCAAGGCCAGCATTATTACCACAGCAACAGGGGCCCTCGTCACAGCTCTCACTGCCATTTGGTATGTGCCAAATGCTATAATGTATTAGATCTTGTTTTCATGGTAATCCTGTGAAGGGAGATATTCTCATCTGTACCTTTCAGATGATAAAATCTGAGACAAAGAAATTGCCTAATGTCCCCAAGCAAAAACCAAATCCCTTATAAAATGTTAACATCCTACTGACTTCAAAGCTTTTCTTAATCCACAATTTACCATTGGTGTTAAGATCTTAGGGACTGCCAACTGTACCTTCACACACATGACCTTAAGATAATAACCATACTCTTCCTTCTCATTCTGAACATCTGAAAGAAATTATGTTTCTCTTTTGGCACTGCATTGATATTCTACTGCATTATAGTTATTTATATCAGTCTTTTATGTTTCTTATTGCACCATAACCTTCTTAAGAGTGATATTCATTTCTTGTCTTTCTTATATCTCATTGCAAGAAGTAAAAATAGAAAAAAAGAACACTTTGCCCATATTGGGCACTCAATAAATATGTAAATAAATGCATGAATAAATAAAAAAGAAAGAAAAGGAGGAAAGAAAAGGCAAAAGGAAAAAAAGGAAAAAGTAACATAATTGAATCAAGGGACCGCTTTGAGTCTCATTATTCTTTTAGAAGCAAATAAATAACCAACCACCAGAAATTGTTCACCGCCTGCATCAGTCCAACACATTGACTCTCAACAGCCGCCTCTGACCTTAGCAGTTTAATAACATGATTTAAAACAACATTCAGTCAAAGGGGCACATTGTGCTGCACAAAAAATCAATTGAGACCTTTAACTACAGGCACCCTGGCAAAAGAAACCCATTAAAGCATGTAAGCAGAAAAAAGTTTACTTACAAAGCAAAATACGTTGGACTCAAATTTATAGTGTTCTACAAGAAAAAGATGACCAAAAAATGTTCCATGTGGCTAAGTTACCACTTGACTTATCTAGGTAAATATTCAGCATAGCACTGTCTCTGCTAATGAACAGCATACCAGAAATAAGCCTTATTAACCAGTATCAGCTATGCATGCTGGTTAGTGGTGTGTTGGAGTCCATATTTCTACACTGTGCTTGCCACGGGTCTTGACTGAGGCCTGGACGAGGAGTCAGTTCTGAGAAGATTAGCCCACTCTCTGTAGAGAAATGCCTCTAGTCCACGTTGCCTGTTTATGATATGTTCCCTATTTCCCTGCAACATTTCCTCATTCTAGTGTTGTACAAGTTTTCAAGTTTGAGAAATCCTATCAAGAAGACTATCTCTGTGCACCGTATGTGCACAAGACCCTAGGTTACATCCAGCACCACCAAAAGATAGCAACGGTGGGGGGGCTGTCTCTGGCCAGATCTGACTGACTCACCCCATCTGCTCTGTGCTCAGACGTCAGCCTTGTTAAGATTGTGTGCAAAAAAGAGCTAAGAGCAGGGTGAATGCTGCCCTCTGAAAGTCTTCCTGACAAGGTCAGCCTCTGGATGGAACCTAGATTTCAGGAGGATTCCCAACAGTCAGAACTTGTACAAGCGGCTCACGTTGAACACCACTTTCCTTCTGAGAGACTTCCTTGTTTGAAGAATTAAGCTTGTGAAAGCTTGTGCCTAGCCTCTCTAGGACTTTGCCCCATGTGTCTTTTCCCTTTCCTTCTTGGTTTAGTATCCTTTAGCTCTAATAAACCTGAATCATGTGACTATGTGCTGAGTCATCTACCTGAATTCCAGTGAATACTAATCTGCAGGTGGGCTTGAGGACCCTGAGACAACCTAGAACAGCAGTATATGGGACAGCACTAGGCCTCAGGTAGAGTGGACTGAATCTGCTAAATCATTATTTGGGATAATGTGTTCAATCATTCTCTAGCAGGGGCTCCTCCTATTTGGAGATCTAATTGTAAATGGCTCCACCACGATATGTTTCAGGTCACCCCAATAAACAACCCTCTCTACAAGAGATGCAATGGACTTCACTTTCAGTCACTCATGCCTGATAGCACACAGCTCTGCCAGCACCAAGCTTACTATGAATAGTGCACTGAGTCCCAACAGCCAGGATCAGAAGTTCTACCTTTTCTATTTTTCAAAAAACACTTTAAGATATTCAAGAGCTCAAAATACACTGCCCATGTATTTTTATTAAAAAGTTATTCAAGGGGCTGGGGTTGTGGCTCAGAGGTAGAGCGCTTGCCTAGCATGTCTGAGGCACTGAGTTCAATCCTCAGCACCACATAAAAATAAATAAATAAATATAAAAGTATTCTGTCCATCTACAACTAAAAAAAAAAATTTTTTTAAAGTTATAAGACATATTCAAGATTGAGAAAATTGCATATAAAATTTTAATGCAATGAACGTTAAAAGTCATTAACTATAGTATTATAATTATAAAATGTAATGACTACAGGTCAAAATTTGTCTTAGCCAGGCACAGTGACACATGCATGTAAACCCAGCAGCTTGGGAGGCTAAGATAGGAAGATCCTAAGTTTGAAGTTAGTCTCAGCAACTTAACAGGGTCCTATGCAATTTAACGAGACCCTTCCCAAATTAAAATATAAAAAAGGGCTGGGGATGTGGCTAGTGGTTAAGCACTCCTGGGTTCGAACTCAGGTACCATAAATAAATACATAAATAAATAAACAGGTCTTGGAAAGGAAACATCATGAAAAAAGTAATATCTTGATTAAAAAACAAACAACAACAACAACAAAAAAAAAAAACCTGGTCCTAAAACTGCAAACTATATAAGACTGAGAAGTGAGAGTAATAAAATATTTGTCTTACATGAGGAAGACTAACAGAATAGTATCTGATATTTAAACACAGGCTGAAGATTTTTTTCTTTTTTGGCAGTACTGGGGATTGAGCACCAGGAATTGAACCCAGAGAGAGTTAACCACATCCCTAGCCCTTTTATTTATTATTATTACTACCATTATTATTTTGAGACAGTTGCTTAGGGTCTCACTGAGACTGGCTTTGACTCATAATCCTCCTGCCTCTGCCTCCTGAGTCACTGGGATTACAGGCATGTGCCACTGCACCCAGCTGAAGAATGTTTTTCAGAAATAAAAAGCAAACCATTAGTAAATTAAAAAAGCAGAATAAATGAAATGTTGAAAAAAGTCTAAATACAGACCATTCAGCAAGAATAAAGGAAACATCAGTTTATTGAAGTGAAAATATTCACTACCTTATGTTAAGTAGGGGTAAAAAGTAGTATACAAAACTGAACCTATAGGATGATCCCATTTTTATAAACTATCGGAAAAAAATCAATAGGTAGTCAAATTATGGGATTGGGACTTTTCTATGCTTCTACTTTCCAATTTCTAAAATGAAAACTCTAGTCCTAAGTATCTGACCACAGGGAATGACATAAATATTAACTCAGCAAATTTTGAAAAAAGATAACAAATGTTATATATTATCATGACAAACATTTGAAATTTGTAATCCTGGAGGAGAGAGAACTGAAAACATTCTCTGAAATCATGCAGTTTGAATTACTGATACCTCCAGATAGCACTTTACACCTATATACCATATAACACTCCAAACTGTTGTCAGATAACCATCTCATGAGGTTTTAAACCAACATAGTGAGAAGAAATTTTTAAGACTCAGAACCTAATCAAGGAAATAGACATAAACAAATAGCAGAACCAGGGCCAGTGTTCCCAAGTGCATGCTGAATTAAGCACTCATCAAAGACTGAGAACCAGAAAAGATCTTAGCAGTCTAGGTTCCAATTTCCAGGTCATCTTTACAGGCTCATAAGAAAGAAATTTCTTTCTATGAATTTCTATTTAGAAATAATGGAAAATTCCTGTTCTTACTGGCAAAAATGTAAAGATGTAGAGATCACCGCATCAAATCAGAAGATTTGTAAAATAGAGACGGTGTAAAAATAGGGATGTCAAAAAGGGATTGTGAGATCCCTGTAAAACAGGGATGGTGCCTGACCCATTTCCTTTGGTGCTCCTAATCCTTCAATGGTCTCTTAGATAATAGGAAGTTGACAGCACTTATTGTGCAAAATCCCTGCAAAGCTGCTGTCGGTCTGTAAATAAGCTGCTTCTTTCTGCTCATTGCTCAGCCAGCACACAACTTCCAAGTTAAGGGCCGGCTGTTCATGACTATGGCACGACTGCCATCTGGTGGCAAGCAACCTTAGCTACATGTCCCATCCAGAAGTCGGTTTCTCCAGGAAAGAGGAATTAGTGGACTTCACAGAAGGTAAATGTCTAAAGCAGGGTAGGGCGCTGCGGCCAAGACTCCAAAGAAGAGTAACTCCAACTAACAAGGTCTGGGACACACTCGTTAGCCTCGCACCCCCACCCCAAGGGCTGACTGCCTGTGTTTGACGTTCTAACCCTTTTCTTTTCTTTTTCTGGGTCCAGTTCATCTTCGACAGTTGGATTTCACAGCCTGGAGAGACCCTGGGGCCCACTTCCTCTCTTTAACCTGGGGAAACTGAGGGCCTGGGAAGTGAAGGAACCAGCCGGAGTCCCGGGACGTCCTGCCTCCCTCTCCAACGCACTGCGTGCGTTCAGGTCCGAGGGTGAAGACCCGCCTCTCTCTAGCCGACCGGCCGCTAACTTTCGGCACAGGCAGGGCTGAGCCATCTCTACGGCCGACCGGGCGAGCTGAGCCCTGTTTCCCGGCCAGGACCCCGACCTCGGTCGTCCCCGCCCCACTGAGCGCCGGCCGGCACCTTCCCCCGGCGCCGGGCTCGGGCCTCCACGTCTGACACTCACGCTCCGCCAGCATCGACATGTTGGGTGCAGCGCGCGGGCCTCCGGACTTGGGCGACTGCTGAACCAGACGGCCGCGAGTCCACAGGCTGGAAGCGCGGGACCAGCACGCCAGCAGATGGCAGCGGCGGGGCGCGTGCTGGTGACGTCAGCAGCGCGCGACTCTCCCCGACCCAGGGCGGCGGGGCGGGGGCGGGGCCACCAGTACGGGGCGGGGCCATCGCGGAAGGGAGGGGCGCCAGGGCGGCGGGGCTCGGCGCGGCGGGGCGGGGCGGGGCGAGAGGCGCTGCCGCCCGCGGACTGGAGCGCGCGGAGTCGCGGACCCGCCGTCTGCCCGCACTCAGCGCGGTCTCGGGAGAGGGAGCTCTGTGAACACCGCCCTTAGGGTCGTGTTCTGTGAACGCTGAGCACCAGGAGTTGAGGGAAGACGCGGCCCCGCAGAGTCCGCCCCTCCACGTCCCACCTGTGCTCCCCGGGAGAGGTAGCCGGGAAGACGGGGGGGGGCCGGGTGGGAGCGAGCGGGCGTCTCCACCGTCTGCCAGTGGGTCCCAAGTTGAGCAGATTACTACCTCGGGGGAAACGTTCGTGTCCCGTAAAGTGACACCTCAACAAGGCCAAGGTTTTAGTTTCTTTTCTCCACTACAGCACACGCCTTGGAGCTTCGCCTTTGTCCCATCCGCGTCTGCATCCATACCAGCGCCGAGCAGAACAATTCGAATATTGGCAGGGGCTTCGTGGATGGTCACAAAAGTGGATTCGTGTCTGTGTCCAGGAGTAAGCGATTAGAACTTCGGGCAGACAGTCAGGAAGTGGTTTTGGACAGGTGACTCTTCTGGGGACTTCAGGACAGTGCGGAAGGAAGCCTTCCCCAGGTGCCAGGAGACCCTGTGTGAAGCTTGTCTAAATGAAACTCAGCTTTTAACTAGGATTCTAGACACCCAAAGTAAACTTCTCTATCTTCACAAATGTTAGAAGAAACGCCAAAGAATATTTACAGCTTCATTGAGTACCCAGGAAGTGAGAGAGAAGACAGGGTGCATGGATTTTCACAGCCAAGTGAGGAGGCAGGTATCTTGTGAGGTGGAGGACAAGGTGCAAGTAGGCATTGAGACTTAGGAAGACAGGATCACGAAAGCCTTAGGATAATTAAGAGATCGTTTTAATTATAGGAAAGTACTTCTCCCCTCTGTGCTGCTATTCTTCATCTGTAAAATATGAAAAATAATGCCAACCATGTGCACTTGCTGCAGTCATGAAGTGCTGCGTCTCAAGTGCTACCAATGGCATCTCCCACCTAGTAAGCACCCGATAGGTATAATATTAAGTAAAATGGAAATTAGGGTGATTATTTCAACAAATATTTATTGTTTCAGACATATGCTAACAGCTAGAGTTGCAGAGACAGACAGAAACAAACATTCCTGGCCACTACCCTCATTGAGTTTGCTTTTGAGCAGGGAAGGTGGACGTGAATCAAATAACTACATACAGGGGAGTAGAACTGTAAGTTTAATAAATGATACAAAGGAGAGTCACAGGATAGAAAAGAATATAGATAGACAAAAATTAGGACTCATATGAATCAGAGCCATGGGCTGTGATGATGTGTGCATACAGAAAGAGAGCATGTTACAAAAGTTCAGAGTGGGAAGGCACTCCCCAGCCAAGACCAGTGTGAAGAGAAAGCTCTGTGTGCATCCTGGTCCAGGGATGCCTTCTGGCTTCCTAGCAGCAATTCTTGCCTGAGGTTCCTCCTCTGTTCCTGTCAAAATTTTATGACATTAAGCTGTAAGGCATCACTAAAGGGCCCTGAAAATCCTCAGAGCTCAACCATCAAGACTCATGCCCAGAGATCCATATTAACATTATGATGTCAACAGAGAAATCCAGTTCCCTTATTGTCTTAAAGCTTTTGTTTACTGTCCTAACTTAGCCTCCCTTAACCTTTTGTGGGATAGTGGCAATTTAGTTTCTTATATCCTAAGGTATATTCAGGGGCAGCTGGTGGGAGAGGGGAAGATGGTGGGGATGGGGACAGAGATGCTGCAAAGGAAAAGAGCAGAAGCAGGTGAAGGGCCAATGAGGACAGTAGAAATGGGTGGTAACTGATTGAGTTACACACTTTAAGTTTCAAGGCCTGTGCTGCTGGCAGAACCCCTGACCTGAGTGAGAAAGCATCATGTCAGGCAAGGAGGAGTGGACACTGGAGTCACCTGACGAAGTTGCCGGGCCGGGCCTCACTGTGGACTCCCCTGAGCCCCTCTGTTAGCCTTCTCTCCTGCGTCTGCTGCTTGCTGGGTAAGCATTCCACAGCCTGTGGAGCTCTGCTGCTGTGGTCTGTCCTCCCACAGTGGATTTCCTTAGTGTGGTAATTGACACATGAGCTACCAAGCTAAGTGTTCAGATCTTGCTGTGACACCTATGGTTGTATCACCTCTGGTCTGCTGTTCCAGGGCATTGCTGTAAGGATTCCCAGAGACAACTCATCCATGCCTTTAGAGCACTCTAATGGTGCATGTGGCCACTGCTTGGGACCTAATCCCCTCCACTCCTATTATCCACGTCGCACATCCATCTTCCTCTGCTACCTACCAACTCTTGATCCTAGGAACGTTACTAAATTTCCTCTGTCTTGTTTTCATCCACATGATAAATGGTACCTGCCTCAAAGTTATATACATGCTATAGATTGAATGTTTGTGACCTTTCCCAAATTTGTCAGTTAAAACCCAACCCCAATATGAGGGTATTTGGAGGTAATTAAGTCATAGGGTAGTACCTCCATGAGGAATTAGTGCCCTTATAAAAGAAACCTCAGAGAGCTCCCCCTGCTACTGCCATGTGAGGATGCAGCAAGAAGCTGGCTATGTGAACCAGGAAGTGGGCCCTCGCCAGACACAGGATCAGCCAGCACCTTGATCTTAGATTTCCCCGCCTCCAGCACTGTAATACATTTCTGATGTTTATAAGATTGTTCATCCAGTCTAGGGCATTTTGTTATAGCAACTCACACTGACCAAGACAAGACACACACATTGCTGGCTGAATGAAGAGATATGTATGTTTAGGACAGTGCTTGGCATGGAGAAAGCCTCAGAGGATGGCTTTCCTGTATCTGAGTGCACACAGTTCTGTGTTGTTTACCTGTTCACCAGGGCCACTCTCTTGATCTGTCCACTGTTGATTTCAGTAGAATAATAGATGAGAGAAAGTCTCGAGGGTTATATTTAGATGTAGATAGAATTCTTCAGAATCATAACACTGTTAAGTCACTAGCTGGGGGATTTTGTTGATTGACAGGGTGGTAAGGAAGAGTCTGTGATTTTGGAGAACAATTACAGAGCACTAGGGACTACTTTAAGGAAATCCCAATAAGTAACATAGGATATTTATGATTTATAGGGTTAGTTTATTTATAGCCCCTTTAAAAAAACTTTATCATGAGAAATATTGTTAAGTAAATAAAACTTTGAAAAATTGTAGGTACCCCATTTTTTAAAAGGAGGCATGTATAATAATCTTCACATACATACAAATAGAGTTAGTATATGCATACCAGTTTGCATGGAAAAAGATACCATGTGGAGATACCGTTCTCGACTGTTAATACTGGTCTTTTCAGCAGAGAAAGGAATTTTTACAACATGCATTTCTATATTGTCAGAACTTTTAATTAATAACAATACCTGCTTCTTTACTATGTCAGAATAATTTAAATATATTTATTTTACCTATTAATATGTGAAAATGTGTGGTCCCTTGGAAAGTGTGATCTGCCTCTGGGATGGACAGATGTAGTGTCCTGCCTGGAAAGTTAACTCCCTCTTATCCACGCAATCTGAGGCATGCTGGAAAGCGGTCCCAGACTCCAGTGACAGCAGCTTGTCAACATTTTCAAAATATGCAAATGCAGACCCATGGGAAATGGTATCTCCAAGGGTATCTTTTCCATACAAACTGGTATGCATATACTAACTCTATTTGTATGTATGTGAAGATTATTATACATGCCTCCTTTTAAAAAATGGGGTACCTAAAAAAAACATACAGTTTTGCTCCCAAGGGCAGGACCGCCTTAACTCTCTGTATGACCTGCAGATGTCGCGTTGCTGGCTCACGGAAGGTGTTCCCAGTTGCGTGCCCTCACCTGCCTCACCAGCCTTTGTCTGCCCAGCACCTTCCATGCGTGATCTGCCTTTCCTGTGTCCTCCCCACTTCCCCTTTCTATGGTTTCTCCTCTAGGCATGGCCAAGCTCTTACCGGCTCTCCTCAGGGCCCTGTCAGGGTCATGATTTCAGCCACCCTGGCCTCCATATGTCACCCAGGAGGGCTTCTGCCTCTGGACCTCCGCTTGCTCCACCCTTTGTGGTTGTGGGCCTGCCTCAGCACTGCCCAGGCCCTTGCGACCTCAGGGCTGCTCTTCCTAGCATCCGGTTCCAAGGCTGGCATCGCCACCCTTAACTGAACCCAACAGGGTTCTGTGTAGACCCCACTATAGCCAGAGAGTCCCTTTTGGCTTCTAGGAGGGGGCATGCTGGGAGGGTGAAGCCAGGGGTCTGATGAGTTGACTCGCAGCAGTGGGGACCAAGTACAGGCCTGGGCCCGACAGCCCTGGGAACCAGGCACTGTTCCACTGTGCCACTCACCAGGCAACGAGGTGGACTGGCCTCTCTGAGATGTCACTTCCCGGCCTATAAGACACAGAGGCTGGTGGCTTCTGTCCCAGAGAGCTGTGTGCTTGACTGAGCTGGTAAATGTCAAAGAAGAGGGAGCAGGCACAACAGTGTGCCTGGGAGTTGGGGTCACCGCAGCCACCTGAACTGAACCTCAGCACAGGAGGCCCTGGCAAGCATGTCCTCAGCTGAAACGAGTGCAGGCAGTGAGGGGAACAAAGGGGCTGCCAGGTGGCCTCACAGGTCCTCCCTGGATGCTCGTTACAGAACAAAGATCCCAAGAGTCTCAGTGTGAACTTCTGCTCACGTCATGTGAAAATGTTGCGATGTTAAAATCTCAACTCCTGGTCTCAGCAGAACTCCTGACCGATTCCCAGGTAAGAGGACTACACCGCCTGCCTGTCACTCTTAGTGCTGGCTGACGGTCCAGACCCCCCCCATGTGCAGCCTGAACTTGACTGGGCTAGGGGACGCCATTTGGTGCTGCTCCCAGGGAGAAAGACTTGCTGCCTTGTTGGCACCGAGCTGCTGGGTCAAGGTGCCTGTTCTTATCGCAAAGAAGAAGTAAAGCCGTCGCACCCAAAAACAAAATGATTCAGGAAGAGAGAGAAGGGGGCACTGAGGAAGGAGAGGCTCAGCTTCTGCTTTTCTTGACGTCAGAAGAGGGTGTCCAAACAGGCCTTCTCTGGGGTGCTTGATTAGATGACTGGGCTAGGGGCTTCCTGAGAATGGTGTGTGTGAGAGAGAGAGAGCGAGAGAGAGAGCGAGAATCAGTCAAACATGACAGCGGTTCATCCAGGAATCCGTCACAGTCCTCCCTCCCCAACTCCAGCTGGTGGGGACAAGGAAGTCCAAGCTGCACTTTATGTGTCACAGAGACAAGAAGCCTGCCATCTGCCACATGCTCATGTCCCCTTCTAGATTTATGCACTGACATCCTAGACCCAGGTTGATGGTATTAGGAGGTGGGGCCTTGGGAGAGGAGGGGAGGAGGCAGGAGAGTGGAGCCCTCGTGAAGGCAGCTTGCTTTCTCTCTCTGCTCCACCCTGGGACGCCACAGCAGCATCTCTGTCCCTGAACCAGGAAGCCCTCACCAGAACCCACACCTGGCAGCGATTTGATCTTGGACTCCAAGTCCCCAGAACTGTGAGAAATGAATTCCTCTTTATAACACACACAGTCAAGGGTATTTTGTGGAGGCGTCCAGACTGGCCAAGACCAGGGACACTTGGCTCAGGGCAAGAATCAGAAATTCTAGGCCCTTACTCCCTAGGAGCCAAGGTTCACAGGAGGGCCTTCTAGAACTGCCTTTGATGGAAACATTTAGTGAATGGGCTTACTCACTGCAGGAAGGATTTTCGTTTAGGGTGATCAGTAGTAGTCTTCTACATCTTCTGTAAAGGACTGAGCTGCTGCACCCATCAGCTTAATAAGAGTTTTGGAAAAAGAGTTTGGGGAAAAAGTAGACCTAAGAGGGCTTTCTGTTTCTTTCCTGGGAATATGTCCCCCAAATTTCCCCTTCATAGGATTGAAGAGCCATTTATTTTATATAACTGGCAATTGATTCATTCCTAAAGAACCGGATCAGGACTGAAAATGAGCTAATAATCAGTCTCCTAACAGGGTCACATGTTCCTGGAAGAAGAGACTGGAGATGGACAGGGGACTCAGGACGTGAAGGCAGGTGCGCTCTGTGTGTTCCTCCTGGTGCCGACAAACTTGCCCCAGAAGAGATGTGGGAAGCAGGGCAGGTGTAAAAAGTTATAATTTAAAAATTCTGTGGGGGAAGCATATGGGGAGAATGGACATTGAGGGAGATGGGTCAGATGTACCACTTCTTCTTCCAGAGTCCTGGACACCTCCATCGAATAAAAGCTCTCTGCTGCCAAAGGAGTCCCATATTGAGGTATCCTTTCACAGAAGAGCATGTGCTTATGCCAGTATGAATTCCTTCCGAGTAGTTTCCCCTTTCTCCTGGACGGCACCGTTGGAGAATGAGACATGTTCAAGCGTACAGAAAACAGTTCAGAACAACATCCGTGACTGGTGAGTTTGCCTGTTTATCATGCGCACTTTGAAATGGGTCAGACTGAAGTACCTCCTTCGCCCTCCCAGCTGCCCACCCTGCCCCCACCTTCCACCCACCGCTGACAGACGTTCAAGTGAGTATGACTGTGTTCAGTTTTGCATTTCTCCTAACATGGCAAGAGGAAACAAGCTTAAGGAACATAAAGACCTTTCTTGCTAGATGTCCCTGGAGCTTGGTCTGAAGGCAGCTCGCTCCAGGGATTCATTTGCAGGATTTCTGTCATAAGGCACTGTGGGGAAAGCTGTTACATCCAGAAAACATGGCCCAGAGGTTTTCTGCCCCAACCCTCAGACCCCCGTTTTTAGTGCTGAGTCTTTCTCTCACATCTTGGCTTCCCCTCCCGGAGCTCTCTCTCCCCTTTGAGTGCCAGCCTGCATTGCATCTTGTGAGTAAGCAGTTCCCTGGCAGGCGTGCTATGTCCTTCCTGGGTGGGGACCCTGTGTACATGCACTGTAGCAAGAAGGGTGATGCCTAGAGACCCACCCACTTACCTCCTCACTCCCCTTTACCATCTCCTCCTCTCCCAGGGCCAGCTGTGTCCAACTTCCAGGTGCAAGAAGCCTTGGGCCCAGCCAGAGGTCACCTGATGCCAGTTAGCACCCAGTTCTCCACCCTCAGTGTATTTGCCCCTCCCCCACACTGCACAAAGGAAAAGGCACACACACACATGTTATTAAAATGAACTGTTTATATTATCTCAGTTGAGTCAATACATTATAATGTATTAAAATGGAAAGGTACAAAATTGAAATAAATACTTTCTGATTCATGTATAAATCTTTTTTTGTTTTTTGTCAAGATGACTTTTATCATCAGCACATGTCACAAGAAAACATTTAAAATGACACCGAAACAATCATTGAAATCATGGTGCATGGAGGAAAAAGGTAAAGAAAACAACCGTTGGCTTGTTTTGGCATGAGACCTTGATACAATTTGGGTTCCCCAAAACCATGTGAAGGGTGGTAAAATAGAAATGCTCAAAACTGACCTAAAAAAATAAACAGGCTTTACAAAAACCCTCTTTTTCTTAACCCAGCCGCTTCTCTACATGGTCTGCACTTACAATAGATACATTCATTATTGTCCAAGGGAAGATAGCAACTGCCTTTCGCTTAAAGAGCTTGGTGGAGAGGCTGAAGGATATGCTGCAGCTGAAGGTGAGTAGAATGTTCCAGAGAACAAAAAAGTCTAGATGGTCTTCAGGAACAGCACTGAGCATGATGGGGGTGGAGGGTCTCTGGGCGAGAGGTGAGGTGGAGGAGAGGGCGGAGTCCAGATCTGAAGCAGTGGAGACGGAAGGATGGAGTCGGGTTGTTCGTGGTCACAATGGGCCCGAGGGTCTCACCACCTGAGCAGCCCTGGGTTTTTCCTCAGCCTGGGAACACTGCTCTGTCAACAAGAGGCAAACTGTGGGCTTTGGAGATGGGGCTTGGACCCTTTTCTTGCACAGCCCTGGGGAGACGGTCAGGCTCCCACTGGGTGCTGCCAGAGGGGCTTCTGGTTCTGACTGCTTTTTAGGTGGTCATTAAGGCAGTAAGGACATTAGCAAACTAGAAGTTAAGGGCAGCTAGGTTCAGCCAGATGGAAGGTAAACAACAGGGGAGAAGGGGTTCCTTTGTCCTCGGCTCCCCTCCCCAAGCACAGGAGGCCTCAGCTCCTGAAGCGCTGAGATTACAGTACACAGTAGCAGAGGGCTTGCCCTTTGGAAGGCTCCATGGAAAGAAGGCTCATCCCTGACTCGGGGCAACTTAATCCGAGTTTCCTCTCTCCAGAATCTCTTCCCTGCGGTCACCCTCAGCTGGCTGGACTGGAAGATGGAAGCACCAGGGGTCATGCAGAAATTAGGTCAAGACCTTTGCTAGAGATCATGGGGCCCGTCCCTGTGGCCTTCAACTCCTTTGTCCAGAGAGCCAGGCTGGATGCTTGCCTGGCCCATGCTCAGCTGGAGAAGAGGACAAGCCTTTCAGGATTCAGGAATCCTCCCCCCAGCAGATGAAAGGACAGCTAGGGACCAGGGGAAGCAAGGCCTGGGCGGTCTCTAGGAAGGGAAAGGAGCGCCTTTGGTCTGAATCACTCACAGGGAAATGGGCAAAAGACAGCCCAGGACCGACAGAAGAACTAGGCCCTTCCTCGTGCTCTGCAGTGAAGACAATGGACGGTTACTTTGGAATGCTGTGGGAAGGGGAGTTCTGAGAGCTGTCTGTTGTTCTGAGCTAACTTTTGGCAAGAGGCTGGATGATTTAACTGCAATTGAAGAACTGTTTCTTGGGCCATTGCTGCCAAAGTGTACAATGACCTACTCCTACAAGTGACTTTGTAGACTTTGGTAAGCCAGATGGAAACCCCCTCCATCCTCCAGCATGAGACAGCAGGCTAGAAAAGATCTCTCCATGAGACACCCAGGGCTGTGGATGCATCAGCATGGAGACATTTCACTGTAACTACTCAGGACCACCTTAAGGGACATTCACAGGGACGAGGTGTATGCAAGGAAAAATGTCAGTAGAGATGGAGAGCCTGTCTGGGGACCAGCTCCCTGCCTGGCCTTTCTCTGGTGGAAGTGATCTAATTTTGGTCCTAAGAAAAATGGGCAACATTTTAACTAAGATTCTAAGAGCTATAATAATAAATCAGTAATAAAAATCAAGCTATGGGGATGTGACAAAACCAGATTGGCCATGAGTTAGTGGTCACTGTTAGAGTCAATTGATAGATCCATAGGACTTCCTTGTATAATTCTACTCTACTATGTGTTTAAATATATGTTCTAAGTTATCTACAATACTAAACAAGCCCTCTTAGAGAGTATTAAGCTTAATCCTAGATAGGGTCCAGAGTCACCCAGGGAGTCACTGTAGAGATGGTATTAGGAACCAGTTGTCTTTCTGCAGGGATCAAGATCTTGTGGTTGGACTTACATTCTTAAATCAGTGTCATGACTTCTTCAGCTCTGCTCTTACCATACTGAAAAGCAGGCAGTGCTCTTTACCCCTCCTCCAGTGAGTCTCAGCAACACTTAACAATGGCAAATACGCTTGATTGCTTGGCTGGGTTTACAGACACGTCTGGGGAGCCAGCAGAGCTCAGGAGCCAGTGGCCTTGGGTTTGTATATTTGTGTAGGCAGCGAGGTTTTGTGTTCATCTGTCCTGTCATTTGTACATAAGTTGAAGAATATGAGGGACACAGCACAGCCTTGCATCCAAGAGCGCTCATTCTGCTTAGGGGGAGTGGCACTCAAACTTCCTGACAGGTTCCCTGAGACTCCTGACCAATGTCAGCGCGTTCCCACAGTGCCCTCTGAATTTTAGCATGGAAGAGCCAACAGGAAAGGAACCCTGTCCCTTTCAGTCAACCTTGACTCTAAAGAAAGTAGGAAGTGCAATCAAACCTCATGAAAATCTCAGCATGTTTTGAAAGATGTCCACCAGCATCAGGCAGAAACGTGATCAGTGCTCAGTCACATAAGTCACCAGGAGTGAATGCTCAAAAGAAGGTTCTTGTGAAGTGTTTGAGCTCTGGTCTCTTAACCTTGTAGAGGGAGAAAGGCAATGACATCCAAGCACTGGTCTCCACTGGTGGCCCTCAGATGGACCGTTTGCTGCGGAGCCAGTAAGTCAAGGACCTCAGAGGACTGGCTTAACCCCAGCTTGAAGAGGGAAAGACCCATTTGCTGGGAGGTGCACTGTTCTGCCAGAAGCCCTGTGTCTGAGAAACACAGATCCTGGAAATGTCTACCTAGCTGCTTCTAATCCCAACTGTACATGTTGGTTCCTAGCACTGGGGGGGGGGGAGGGGAGGGGCAATCTATCAGAGTTCAGGATGGGAAAATATAGAACTGCAAACTTCTGACAGTACACAGGGGGAAAGCAAGCACATGGATTCTGCCTCAGCTAGAGAAAAGATCAGATGCAGGGGCAGGGACTCGACTACATGGACTGGAGACATTGCCTACCAACTAGGCGCCACCTAGCTGAAGAAGCGACTGTGCATCCCTGGTCATCGTGTGTCTTTGGACAGGTCTCTACCCTGAGCAGGTTCTGATATTCAGAGGAGGACAGGGGCTACTCTGAGCACACAGCAGCTCCATCCCTTGGTCCTTAACATCGCCTTTACTCAAAGCACTCTGAAGATTGAAGACATGTGGCTGCCTGTCTCCAGACGCTGCCCTCCCTAATCTTATACACGATGAAACTGAGACACAAAGAAACCACTAATTTTTATGCAGTCCTTGTATGGATCTGGTGACACTCCTGGCAGAAAAGTCCGGGATCCCGCTTCCTGAATCCTTGAACATCTTCTGTTACCTTTCTCTTGAATTCACATTTAAAGTCTGTCTGCCTGCCTATAGCACATTAAGTGTACTAATACGTATAAAATATAAATAATTTGTAGATTCCTGCTTACCTTCCTGTGTTTTTCTTCTCCTTTATGTAACTAGGATTGGGGGAGGGGGGCACCAACAACAACAAAGGGATGTTCCTTGACAAGGGAAAAGCCCCAGTACTGCTCAGGGACTAGACCTCGGGAAGGAGAGGTGACAGCCCTGTCCGTGGGGCGGAGGTGCTTCAGATCTGGACTGTACAGCAATCAGATGAGACAGTTCAACAGAAATCAGCAATGGAGACGCCTGTGCCAGATGGAGCGAACGTACACAACCTGGTTTTAAGGAACAGTAAATACAATAGAGATAGAGAGATACACGCTATGTTGAATCTTGAGTACTGAAACAAGTCATAAATAGAGTTATGCTAAATCAAAGAAGACAGACGTTATTGGGAAGAGTCTGGTCAACAACCAATCACCATTAGAATTAAAAAGTAAACCGGCCTTTTCACTGAGTACCTCCACGACATTTCTCAATGCACTAAGTACATTTTAACCATGCAAAAATACACAAACATCTTAACTAGGTTGTTTTTTTTTTTTGTTAAAAAAAATCAAACACCAACATTATGCATTTTTTTTTTTTGTTAATTATATTGGTTAAAGTAACAGCCACTGGCTGCCAAATATCAGATACATCATATACATATTTTTATACAGAATCTGGACAACACAACATTACACATCAAAGAGAGAAAGAGAGAAAAAGAGAAAGAGATTATTTGTTCCTTTGTGGGTTTGTTGTTGTTGTTGTTGTTCAGTAAAAAAATAAAGTAAAATATGAGGAGCAATGCTAAGAAGGAAAACACTTCAACAGTTAGGAGTACATAGGGAGAACTGCTAATCAGAAATACAGGAGGAAAAGAGTTCATATTTCGGTCTGTTTCTAGAATTTTCTTCACTAAGAAACCAAGGAGCACAACAGGTGTATTGGTTTGGAAAAGCAGAAAGAGCAATAACATCATGCTGTCTGTTTCCCAGCACGTTTCCGCAAAAAGAAAAAATCATAATCACAAATTAATTTCACAAGTTTGTTTTCACAAATGTCCTCCCTTACCTAGGAAGCTGGACAATGCAGGGGCGGGGGGCAGCTCAGTTGAGAGAGTCCTTGGCAAAGGTTTGGCCAAACCGTTGGCCTTAAATTAGTTGGAGATGTGATCTGTCACGCAATGGAATGCGAGGTCACCTTGCTCCCTCTAGGCAAGAGTTCCCGTTGCCAGCCAGCGACCTGGCCGGGAAACACCCCCATGACAAGTCCTGCTAGCAGGCCCCAGTCCTGCCCCTTAAACTTCTGGTGTCAACACAATCTTAAAAGTTCAACCTGGAAAGAAAACAAGACCTTGAACACAAGCTATGGAAG